TTTTTTTTTTTTTTTTTTGTACAGGGACCTTCCGATTTCTGATTTTGATCATTTTTTTATCGAATGAACTTTGCTAAATACTCAATTTATATATGTAGGGAGCCGGAGGGCCTGACGAGGAGGACAGCCACCGGTGGCCGCCATGGCTGAAGCCTCTTCTCAGGGAACAATTCTTCGTCAACTGCAAATACCACACCGACTCTCACAAGAGCGAGTGCAATATGTATTGTTTGGACTGTACCAACGACGGCCCGCTCTGTTCTCTCTGCTTGGCCCATCACAAGGATCACCGCGCAATCCAGGTTCGTTCCTTTCATTTTTCAACTTTTTTCTTCATCGTTTTTGATATAATTCTCAGATTTTTAACTGTGTTTTTGGATGAATTTGTCAGATAAGGAGGTCGTCTTACCACGACGTGATAAGAGTGTCGGAAATCCAGAAGTATCTCGACATCAGCTGTGTCCAGACGTACATCATCAACAGCGCCAAGGTTGTCTTCCTCAACGAGCGTCCCCAGCCGAGGCCCGGCAAAGGCGTCACCAACACGTGCGAGGTCTGCGACCGTAGCCTACTCGACTCCTTCCGATTCTGCTCCCTCGGCTGCAAGGTACTGCTGCTAATTTCCCCCAATTTTCTTTCTTTTTTTTTTTTGAATCTGCATTTAGCTGAAGAAATTAGATAGTGTGTTTGACTCGATCTTGATTCTTGATTGATTGTATAGATTGTCGGGACGTCGAAGAGCGTCGGCCGGAAAACGCAGTTGCCGGAGAAGAAAAGGGCGGCGGATTCCGGCGAATCGACGAGCAGCAGCAGCTGCAGCAGCTCCGACGGGAGGAGGCCTAGCTTCAGGCCGTCGACGCCGCCTCCGACTGCCGTCAGCTACCGGACGGTGAAGCGGAGGAAGGGGATTCCTCATAGAGCTCCGACCGGGTGCCTCGCGATGGAGATGTAGTGGGAGGGTAAATGGGTAATTTATTAATTATAAAGCTCCCCCAATCACATCCTTTGTAGAAAAAAAAAAAAAAGAGAGGCAAATATTGGACTATGTAAAAGTTGGCTTTTGATGTACATAGAAGCAGATTCTACTTTCTAGTGGATGTGAATAGTGTGTGGAAAAAGAAAGGGTGAATGAAAGAAGGGTAGTTTTGGAAAATAAAACAATGTGGAAAGGGCTAAGTTCTAAGCTTGTTTTTATGAAAAAAAAAAAAGGTCAAGTAAACATTTGTATACAATATAGTTTTTCCTTTTCTTTTTTCTTCTTCTAGTGCTTTCCGAGTCATTTGCTAATTTTCTTTCTTTACTCTATAAAATGTGTGTAAAATTGAATAGTTTTAATTGAGTTTAAAATAGCTTTACTCATTTGCTTGTGTGTGTGTGTGTCAAAAGATGTAAGTTTGTTGTCTGAATTTTTGTATTTTGTCAAAAAGAAAAATCATTATCCAAACATACAATCTCAGTGCATCAATGTTGCTATAAAACCAACTGGTTGGTTCTCTTATGGAACCAACACTTAACGATTTTGCTCTATGTGGGGCTGTCTCATATGGGCTACCAGTTGGTTTTATAGCAACATTGCTGAGTGCATATATGATTCTAAATTGAAAATTCATTATTTGAAAAATATAAATCACAATTTGTAAAAAAAACTCTTTTCCCCTCTCTCGATAAAAAAGAAAGCAGAAAACCTAAAAGCTGCGTCGCATCGTCTTCCCACAGCAGGGCCTTCGGGCCACCATGATGTCGGCCTTCTCCGAGCCGTACGACCGACTCTCTGAATCCCGTCAATTGTGGCGGCGGCGGCCTATTTCTTCGGGTGAGGCGGCGGTGCTCGACCTTGGATTTCGCTTTCTTCCCGGCGCCAAGGTGAGTCTTTTTCCGGCGGCTCTTCGGCGTTTAGGCGGTGGCGGGCTTCCGACGTGGTGGGGAAAGTTGGTTGTGGCTCCAATCATCCTATCTGTGGTGGTCGGGGTCGAGATTTGTGCTGTTCCACTCTCTTCCACTCCTCCGCTCCTCTTCCATTGGTGCCTTATCGGTGACTTTGGCGGCGATGGTTTGGGTCTGGTCGTGTGGCCAGATTCTGAGTCGACGGGAGTAGGGAAGTGGAGTTTGTTCTGATTCTCCGGTTGCGGGTTGTTGGGTGGTCTACTCTGGTGAGGGGTCGAGTCCTTTTATCTCAGATCTGGTTAGGCGATGTTTCTGCAGTTTCTGGACATGTGGCTTGGACCAAGTCTCTCGCCGTTTGGGTGGTCGCTTAGGAGTATCGACATAGTTGGTGTTCTCTTTGGTTCCGTTGCTGTGGGAAGGACTCTCGTTTATTTTGTTTGTGTTTTTTATTTGCGGTTGTGTTTGTGCGTGTTTTTGTTTTATAGGTTGTGTTTTGTTTTCTCCTTTTCTTTGAGGTTTGTGTTATTACCCTGTGGGGGTTGTCTTATTCTCCTTTGGGGAGTTTGTGTATTCTCCTGTGGGGAGTTTTATTTTTATTTTTATGTTTAGTCTTGTAGTGTGTGTTGTGGAATCTAGGCTGCCTAGTGTAGTCCTCCCATTACGGCTATTCAGTCGGCTGTAATTATGTGTTTTAGTTTAATGAATCTATCGTTTCGAAAAAAAAAAATTATAAATCACCTTCACAATTTTGTTGAAATAATTTAATAATTCGGCTAGAGCTGCGAACGACCCGAGTCGAGCAGGATTGAATTTTTTATTAGCTGCTCGAGCTCGAGTTCGACTCGATAAGAAAATACAAGCTCGACTCGAAATCAAATGTTGGAGCTCGGTTCGAGTTCGGCTCGAAAGTTTTCAAGTGAAATTATCATTAAGCACTTGTGTTATATTTTTTAAATATATAAGAGTATTTTAGTAATTTAATATATATCGACCGCTCGACAGTACAAAATATGGGTTCGAGTGACTCGAATTCGGTCAAACTCGAGCTCGAGTCGAGCTTTGACTCGAGCGTTCGCGAGCAGCTCGTGAGCCGCTCGACTTGTTCGCAGCTCTAAGTTCTACATAACACAAGCATTTATTTGAGGTACATTATTTAATTAAGGCGTTAGATTTTTCTTTCAAAATATATTTTTTACTCACTCCATCACAACAAAGGAAATACTAGGATTATGTTACGAAACTATTCTGTCGAAGTTTATAACCGTTAAATCATCATATAATCGTCAGGAATAATTGATCTAATGAATACAAACCTCGACGGAATTATTCAATAATGAGACAGTAACATCTCTCCACAACAAAATAGTAACTTATTGGGCAAATGCATCCAAAATTAAACATAAACAAAAACCCCCTTGGAAGTGGTTGATTACTTTGGTTGTTATATGTGATTTGTGAAGTAGCTTCGTGAGGCATATGTTTTGACTGGTTTAGGTAAGTACCAATCAGTGGCTCTCTTGGTCGCCGCCTTTGAACAGGTCACAAACGGTGTCGTCTTGCCTGGACGCGTGTCGACCATAGATTGGCTGATCAAAAAGACAGGTGTTGGAACTTGGAATCATGAGTTAGGTCAAGGTCGTCGTCCTTCGACTATTTTCTTTTTTCATTTTATTTATTTATTTATTAATTAATTAATTAAATGTGGTTTCTTGGTGGAGGGGTTGGGGTTTTGTCCCTGGGACCACAATCCTCATTGACCCTTCCTTTTATTTTTCTTTTTTCTTTTCTCTATTTTCTTTTTAGTTAATTAATTTATTTAGTTTATTTTTAATTTTTTTTTTCAATTTGATGTGCACTATAATATGGAGAAATACTACAGTCCCGTTACGAACCATGTCGTTAGGATTTATAACAATTAGATCATCATGTAACCGACGAAGATAATTAATCTAACAGTTACAAACTCCGACAGAATAATTTCGATTGTAGAATTTCCTATAATATACTACAATAATTTTCCAATTTATGGAGTAATTATATAATTGGGAGGTTGGCATGAGTCCGAGTCTCCTTTGCCCACTTTGTTTCACCATTTTCTGATAAATGTTATTTACTCACTATAAGTTGAAGCCAACACATTATCAATCTCATAAATAGAAATTATATATAATTCAGGATTTTAGACAAATATCGGGTGGACATTTTTTACATGTAACAAATGTATGCATGACCAATATGACAATAGTCATTTAAATGCTTTCCGGATAGTTAAAAGGGGTGTAAGTGTGGCTATTCATCGGTCATTTTGGTTCAACCCACGGACCGAAACGTCAAAATTGAAATGTTAAAATTGAAATAATTAAGTCGAATTTTTGAAATAACATATTCAACCGAACTTTTATCCCCAAATCTAACTTGAACAAAATCAAAAGAATTGATTTATTCGATCGACTAACCGAAATAACCGAATAAAATATTATTTATAATATAAAAAAATATATTTAGTATTTTATTTTATTTAATATTATAATTTTTTTTGCTGAAATAAGTATATTATATATGAAAATATAAGAAAATAATATTTTTTATATAGTTCAGTCGGTTCACTTATTTTATAAATAAACTAAAATCGAACTGAGATAACTAAATGTTAAAAGTAAAAACCGATAAGTGAACCGACATATAAAAGTAAATATTATGCGTTATATCGCACATTTTTTATTTTGTTATGAGTGACATATATTATTCTCTATTTATTTTTGACATTTTGGTATGCGAACACTCTGATTTATCGTAATATGTTTGCAGATCTGCGAATATAGGTTCCTCTCTTCGACTCTTCTCCGCATTAATAATAACGCTGCTTGTACCAAGAAGAATATCTTCTCGAAGATACACATTGATAAGAGTTACAATTTGCTAGGGGCCTATTATTTGCCTATAAATAAGAGTTACATTTGCTAGATCTTATTCTTCCTTCATTTTTGTTTCTAACAATGTGCTCTTTTAGAGAGAGTTTTGTTGTACAAAATTAATAAATAAAATAGTGAATTAAGAACGAGTTTCAACACATATACGCATTAAGATTTTGTAAATAAAAACCACAAACATCAACCACATGAAAGTGAGATTAAAGTATATTACTATTAGTAAATAAATAATTTTATCGTAAAAATTAAAAACTTAACTGACAGTTATATATTGTCAGATAACACGAATAGCCGAATCATAGAAAATCTGTTTGCCTTGAAGAAACAGACGCCCTGATATTGTGCAACGAATCCTTTTCTCACATGATAAGACGGATCAAAGTGTGAAGATTACACTATCTAACACACTCACCTCGATCAAAGTCTCAGTTACCAAGAACCTATTTTTTCTAAGTTTTTGGAGGATAAAAGAGAATATATGTGTATGTTCCTTTTTCTTTTACTTCAGTTGGTGTGTTCTTCCCCTTAAGCATACACATACTATTTATAGTGCTCATGAGCTAGCTTTTATTCAATGAAGAGGAGATACATTAATTTCTCATCCATGAATGATCAAATAAATAACTCAACCGTAAGAGTTATTAACTAAACTCTTTGAAGCCATCCATCAAATGAAGTTTGGTTAGAACATTGTAAAATTAATTTTACTCATTACTTACAATATTAAACACACCAACTAAGAATTCTCACACATATATAAATTCTCTTTTCACATGTAATGTTAATTACAACAAATTTGTCCCAATCATCTCTTACAAATGGGAATGCGAAGTTACTTACTGGTGATCGTCAAATAAATATTTAAGAGCTTTAGTAAGCACAAATATATGGAATAGCAAGATTTAACACCTAGATAATAACTATTTTTAATATTTTATATTTGTTAATTATTCATATATAAATAAACTACTCCCACTTCTTTTTAAGGTACAAAAACTACTCCCCCACTTCCACTATCACACCTGTCTTCTTCCTCATTCGTAGTAGGCGGTTAAAAAAGTATTATTGAGCTTTTTTTTGTCTCTAGATGTAGGAAGTGTTTATTCATGTTGTATTCTTTATTTTACAGAAATCAATT